AGTCAACCTTACACCCACTCTGAAATAATGGGAAATTATACGTCTAGATTGGAATGGATAGAAATAAAAGGTTAGCCAGGTATGCGAGTTTTTGCAATATGTAGGTTTCTGTAGCTAAGGGGATATATATACACCTTATATCTTATTTCAACAACGCATATCAAATTAAAGAATTCATAAATCAGCTGAAAATATTGAGATAATCATATTTAGATAAATTCGATGCATTAGATGAATCAGATACATATTCTGTAGGAGTTCAGCACTTTGATAGTTTGAAGAAATGAGAAACTAATCATATTTGATGTAATAAAAAGCTCTGCTTGCTATAATCCCATTATACATGTAGGCGAGACAGGTCCCGTGAAAACTAACTAACTTGAGTTAAACAAGTATGATAAAGAATCATCAGTCGTTTGTGCATGTGTGTTAATGTTGCACTACATAAGATAACCAAGTAAAAAGTCATCTCAACGAAAACTAAGATTTGATTGATCATCTCGTCGATAATCAGACTCCACGTATCTTAACTTAATATTAGGTTGCTATAGGCCTGTATACACAGCAGAACAGGGTTCGTTCCTATGGGTCACGTGACCAGGTAATGCACCAACATTAACAAAGCTCATCGGCGGAACCTTGTCCCGTATATCACACGACTTGATTCTCATTTGGTGTGGTATATAATTGAAAACAACGCATTGCCATATATTGGTTGTATTTAAGATATTAATCATATCATAATCAACCAGATTTCCAGTAAGGGAACATTTTTTCAATAAATAAACACAATTTACATATTAACATGGGAATGGCAAAACTGTTTCCGTGTATCTGTTCATTATATTGAATGCAAATTCTACACCCGTGTCAAGTTTAATTACACGTTCCCGATTCTATATATTCGGTTCTATTTATTTCTACATTACAGAACTATGACATGTTTTGCTTTAATACTGTGATGTTATTCCAAATGCTTAATACATCATAATTCCCAGAAACACACCATACTTCTAGGATAAGTCCTCTCAATTTGGAAAGAACGTTGAACCTCCCCGAGCAGTAAAAAAAAAAACAGAGAATTTAGTGACAAAGCCGTGAAATCGATTGTCCTCCATAATGAACAAATTCAAGAAACGTATTCCTCGGAAGGCCTTATTTCCGTTTGGCCTTTTATCAACGATATCGACAATATCTCTAATGGATTAATTCAGTATAAAATTAATGTATATCACATTTTCGCACTTGGTATAGATAAACAAGTCGTGTATTGTATTAATGTAACAGCCTTTGACAATACACAAGCATTTTAAGTATCCAATCAAAACCTGTGCAAAACACTTTTTAGCGAGAGATATTTACGTGTTTGTGAGTTAATTAGTCTCCGAATAAATGTGTCCTTTGTTTATATGTATTACCCTAGTTTTATTGATTTTGGGTTTGAATTATGGTTCTGTTGACATGTTGGTATTTTAGCACCTCATAATGCTTTGTGTGACTCAAGAAAATTTGTTTTTAGACTGAAGATGAATTTGCCTTTTCGTGCTAGTCTTTGATTAAGTACAGTGCTTTGTAAACACTCGGTCTGTCATAATAGTCTACGATCATCCAGTACAAAACAACAATTCATTTGTATTGATACAAGGTTTCTTTTATGAAAGAAGATCTATATGGAATTTATCAAGATACATTGATTTTCAATACGTTAATCATCATGACAGGTTCATCAAAGATGCTTTGTTGTTGTTCTGACAATGTTTGCTTTTTTGAAGTCTTTGAAAACCTATTGATGTCTTGAAATGAGTATACGTCCACAGTGACGGTTAAAAGACTAAATATATACTGCGTCGCATATCGACTTACTGTGGAATCAGATGTTTTCGCTGTTCTTACTTCTTTTTCAGTAACAAATGGTTGTTTTTTGTGGACATTTGATTTCGTGAAGAGATAAAGGTCGATAGGTCATTATATTAGGATAGATACTACTGATTCTTAAAACTGATATATAATTTAAGATTTGTGAACTGATTTTTAAAATGCAGACATTACAACTTCACTGCAAACAAAGTTAGATTGAAGTTAATTTCAAAATTATCGTTTGAAATGGAAAAAAGCTATATGATTCTGTTTATCACAAAATTGAACCATTTTAGAAACATTCGTGAAAATAACATTTTAAACACAGATAAAACATTTGAATCGGAGATGCTCTTGCTGTATAGCTCTCTTTGTGGTGACGACACGATGAAGTCAATTCCATAAAGCAATTTTTACCAGAGTTGTCGTTCCTGAACAGTCACAATACACTTCTGTAAACGGTAAACGGAACTGACCTTATGGCGATATCCCTAACAACAACAAATAGGACAAAGCTGTGGACCGTTCTGTATGCCACCCATCAGCTTAAAACATGCTGTTATGCGGTTGAGAAGTTTAGTGCCAATATCGTAGCCAAAATACCGTTAAATATCACAAATATCACATTATAAGGACATGTACGAAATATACACACGATGGTTGATGACAATTTATTCAAAATTAATCTTCCGCGTTAAAACAGTAAAGTTTATAACCATTTTACAGATGAACAAACATGTATTTTCAAAGAATAATACAAAACATAAAACAGAAAAATAACGAAACACTTTACTATATGACACAAATACGTCGTTCAAGAATCTTGAAATGTCATAAACCATTTACAGAGGTACAATTAAGGTACCGCAATGCACTATGGGACAGATGGCCATGATAATGTATATTACAACTTTACATCAATATTGGTGTTTTCATCTTGTATCAATTCAGTTATGATTTGAAATGACTCTTAAGATAAATTAATTTACCACTGATAACAGGGTAGTCATATGATGAATGATTATATCACTGATAACAGGGTAGTTATGTGATAAATAATTATATCACTGATAACAGGGTAGTTATGTGATGAATAATTTTATCACTGATAACAGGGTAGTTATGATGGTGAAAGAATTTATCACTGATAACAGGGTAGTTATGATGATGAATTAATTTATCACTGATAACAGGGTAGTTATGATGATGAATTAGTTTATCACTGATAACAGGGTAGTTATGATGATGAATTAGTTTATCACTGATAACAGGGTAGTTATGATGATGAATTAGTTTATCACTGATAACAGGGTAGTTATATGATGAATGATTATATCACTGATAACAGGGTAGTTATATGATGAATTAATTTACCACTTTTTTTGCTATAGTGTTCGATTAATATAGCTATGCACAGGTAACACACTTGCTTATGAAGGAAGGATTTAATTTGACGTCACATTGTGGCATTTTTGACATCACTATAGATACCATTAAAATATGACCTGGAAATAACATTTTCTACAATTAAGACCAATATAATTGATCATGTTAATAAAGCAATTTCAAATTTGTTTCCACGTAATAATGAAACATATCACCTCTTTTTCCTTTTACTCAACGGAGGCCCTCTAAAATAATAATAATCAAAATAGGTAAGGCTCTTTTAATGTATATCATCCGGAATAAAAATACACACAAGGCTTAATATGTTATAGGTAATACAATATTACGACAATGTGTGTAAGAGAAATGGAAGGTGGGGTGTATTGATTATGTTAAGCATATCTCAAACTGGGCCGGCACGTGCTCATAGAGAGTATATCCTTGGCTGGTGACGATTGCGGTAATCGAGAATGCGTAATTTAAGGAAACAGCCCGATATGCGTTTCGGAATCCTCATTTCAGGTATATATGAACATATTACATTCTATTTCATTATGATCGTAATTCTAACATGCATGTATTATTTCATTTGAATGTGACTTTTTAACTTATTCAATACCAACAACCGTGGATTTTTTCTCCGTCAGAATTTATGAGCTGGTAACACACAACTGACTTCGGTAATGGTACGCGTCGTAATAATACCATGAAATGACAAACATCTTCAACTATTGAATCGTTTCATTTATAATAGGATTTTCATTGAAAAACCCACACAAACATTACGAGTAGCTTGAATACCGACGTAAATACGAAACCCTACTTAGAACCACGAATCAATTGAAAAGAACAAAATTAGTGCAAGAAAGTTAATGGGAAGACAAATGAATAAATAAATAAATAAAAATACAAAGAGACAGAGGAATGGGGACTTTAAGATGAAGTTTTTGTCAAAGTAAGCGTCTTCTGTTTTATTTCAGTTCCCGAAAGGCAAGTTAAGCAAACTCAGTCGAAACAATACCATGTTCCCAAAATGGGAATTGAGTTAAAATCCAATAAAGGAGAAGTCGACTGATACGATATTGGTCAGAAACATTTAATTTCAACAACGCTGAACAAGTGAGATGTTATATTGTGTGGCCCGGAAATGAATGTCATTTAAATTAAATAGGTATACAGATATATGATAAAAGAAAAGATATCACGTAATAGCAACTTATCAACAGAATCTTAATTAAAAATAAACAAACTATGAATAAACGAATAATTGACATGATGAATCATAACCAAGTATAAGATTATAAGATGAAAATCAAAGTCCCTTTGCGAATGAAATAAAGACAAACAGCAACAAAATCACAAGCCCCCAAAGGAAAATAGAATATTTCTCAATGAGAACATCTTGTACAGAAATATAGCATCTTACACGAGTTTTCCGTTTATGTAAGAAACTATGAAAAGATTAAATGTTTTTTTATTTTAGTTTAGCTTTGCGATATCAGCGTGTTTTCTTTCAGACAAACGGAATAAAGTGTAACCTTGAATATTGAAGAATGGTAGTAATAGTACAAAGACGACTACTCCTGACTACACTTTTTTTCTAAAAACAAAAACCAGTCAATTCAATGGGAATTGTTTGAGCGTTTAACACACTCTTGTATCAGACACATTAACATAATTTTCTCTTTTATCACTTACCTGTTTTAATAGTGTTATGTCCTATTTCAAAACTTCATGTTTAATATTCAAATTCGTCGATGGGTGGACTAGCAGTCCAACAAAACTGTAGAGAAAGATTTTATGTCAATTGTCACGTTATCATTTCAGTTCTTAACCTTTGTACGTGTACGCCTATTATTCGACAACACCACTGGCAGATACGACAAACAGATTTGTCATGTGACGTACCAACCAATAATGTAGGGTTGGCTATCACTGTGAAAACTTTGATAGAATGCTTGGCCTACGCACAGCAAAGGTATGGAGACGATGGTGTGGTGACATTCAACGTCACTACCGGTTTATGTATAACTCCTGATAATTCCACAACGCCCAATGCAGTTGGTCGCCTTTATGAAAAAGCCAGTTCACCAGTGGATGTTGACGACCCCATACCAGGTAAGCCATGCTTATTATTAAGTTCTTAGATACGATAATACTATGTAATGATCATTTTCATAACTTGTTCGTTTATAGATAAATAAACTTTTTTCAACTTAGAGATTCAATAAATGTAATGCTTTAAGATATATTTGTTTAAAAAGTTTTGAGGTGTTACTTGGATTTCACTTCTGATTGTCAAAATCAATAAATGAATAAATAAGTGTCATCCCTGATCCAAATTCCGGTTGAAAGATTTATGTCGACAAATCCCGGATTTATTTCTTCCTTTGTCCACCATGAATTTGGCTAAAATAAGCTACATTTTATGTCACTGAAGTATAGATACAATGCAACTGCTTTTGTGTCAACGTCCTTAACGAAATCTAATTATTGTACATCATTATCTAATTAACTTTGATGTTGCGCTTTAATCGATAAGCTTGTTCGATCAGGATAATATATGTCAGGTATTCTCAAAGAGATATTGTTAATCGTTAAAGAAAATCCAAGCTGATGACTTGCAGAAATTGATACGCCTTACCTTTGATGTCTTGAAATCACGTATAGATTTGCGTAAGGCGTTAATTTGCAGCGAAAAAATAGTAAGCAGGCAGTTGTATTCACATTGCAATAAACATACAAAAAGGACAACATTATCATTATACAGATAAACATAGCAATTAAGTAGAAGTGCGAGCGTCTTCAATAACCATATTTTAATCTTCTCAAAATGGCTCTTCAGAATGACAAATTGACATATACGTACTAAGTTGTATTTATTGTATTTGGTGCTCATGACCGATTGAACGGTTGTATCGTCATGCTGCCCAGTCAGGCTAAAAACTTGAAAGTGGATTCAAAGACATATGAAAGGAAATGACATACGTTATACAAGCTAATGTTGTCCTATTATTCCATGTTAAAAGGCATAATATGCATACATAAGAAATATTCAAATGAATTTCTCACCTCATTGCGTCCCTCGTTTATCAACACACAGTTTCATTGGGATGATGAAATGATTCTATACACAGAAAAGTCTATGAACTTTGAATAGCCAAGTAAGGAGAGAAGACAAAAAACGTTATGTTCTCGACACATGTTAAGCTGTCTGTATCATTTTCTCATCGCCTCAATTTCTTCTAAGGATAATACCGCGCTGAACAAGTTATAGAACGTTCAAACGACAGATCGAGAGGAGGAGAACGTTCGTTAGAATTTAATTTGATAGCATAGGCCCACAGAACTATTAAACTTAATTTTACATTTTTGCCGTCCTCTTTGGACTCGTCTGTGAATCTAAGAGTCAACCTTGCTGCAAATTAGAAGACGATCGAGTAAAAAACGGAATTGGTCGAAATAATTAAAAAAAATAAAATATTTTTCATGTTTTTTGAATTACGATTTCTACAGAACATCAAATTCATGTATATATTCTGAAGACTACCATTGCCTCGAATTGATTAAAATGGGATATGATGTTCAATACTTGAAGCAGATCTAACTGAGACTTCATCGAAGAGGACAGAATTAATATGTTGTTCGCGTCTCAGGAGTTGCGATTTCGATTTTATCGTTTCTTGTACCTAGCCGCATTATTCCGCTCTGCAAGAGAGAACATTTCTTAAGCTCAGCTGACAGCTAAAAATTAGCGGTCAGATGGAGCCTCCGGGATCGATTCTTGTTCCCTGAAAACTCCGTGTAAATTGGTAACTGTCTATCACATTTGTTATACAATTGTGTCGTGGGAGTCTTATCGCTTTAAAAGTAATATTTCACGAATCAAAGAAAAAAATAATCCGCTTAATTTGTTCAATAGCACGAACCTGTATAAAATAACCGAATAGAGATAACAATCTCATCAGTTGAGATATATAAAGAAATAAACATACGTAAGAAAATAGCCGCTGATCGTATTGTTCCAGGTACTTTTCATTATCATAGTATATTTCTTGTTTTGCCCATATTTTATCGATTTAAAGTTGGAATAACCTTTGTTATCTATGAATTTGTGTTCCCTTCTTTGTGATATTTCTGATAGATAATTCAATTAATGCCGGCAGGTTTTCTCGTACGAGGTGCTCGAACTGAAATGTTCATGTATGGTTTCATTTCGAACCATATAATATACTTATAGTTGGTAATTTTTGCGGGCGAATTAATTTCGCTGTATTCGTGATTATTAATGACAGCGCAAAGTTTAATACGGAACAAATATTTCACACTAGATTAAAATCTAAGAAAATGTATATTATATATTTTTATGCATAGATACCAAGCTGAAGAAATGTACGAAATTCCATTCTCATAAACATCTTCATAGTAGCCACAAGACCACAATGTTGTTTCTCATTCTATAGTGCAATCGAGTGATAAAGATTCATATGATATAGCAACTATGAAGAAATGTGAAAACAATGGATATCGTTTGAAGAAATACTTTTGATAGAAGCAAAGCCAAACTGATTCGTTTTGGATTTTTTCAATCGGAATAAAAATTATTAGATTATATTTGTATTTGCACAGTCGAGATGATCGCATCGATGAAATGTCACTCGGATATGAGAAGGCATATATTCACTGACATTAGTTCTAAATCTAATTCTCACTTGTCTTTCAGAATTTTGCCATACTTCCTGGAACATGACTTATAAAACACAAGCTGTTGGAGTAGTCGAGTATGGAGACAAGACGTTATTAATTGACATCTTAGACAAAGGTGCAGATATAAAAGTTCAGCTGGGGGAAAATTTCTTTCTTGAATCATCTTACATCTTACAAAGAGTTACAGAAAGGTGTGCCGTAGTACCATTTGTAATAGCCAAATCAGCATGGGATACTTTATTTCCGGATTCTTTCTTGAAAATAACATTAGTATGTACGAATGGGGATATTTTTATTGCCAGACAGTATATTGGGGTTGGAACAGTCATCAATTCTGGTTTCGAGAATATGGACATCACTTGGTATACAAGGTGAGATTTTGAAAGAATAAACAAAAATCTGTTATATAAACGCTTTCAAACAAATTCAAACATTAAATTAATTCATAAAGAGAGTTATCTCCCGTGCCTGATAAAACTGATAAAATGAAATAATTCATTTGATTATTTATTTATTTTTCCTAGGAAATGCATATAACGTATATACCGTATTACAATTTTAATTAATGACTAAAAACTTTCATTTCTTTCCCACGAAATATGTAAGGCAGTTTACATAAATGTACATATTTCCTTCCTGTAGCTATTCAAGTCTACACAGAAAGAGGACATCTTTATGTACTTTTATTAATTTTAAGTGGGATTATCTCCCTTATCTCATGTTGGGGAAAAATTATAAACTCACGTGTTGATTTTAAGTAAAATATCTTGGTGTACTGTTATTCATTTTAAGCGGGATTGTCTCCCTTAACACATGTGATAATTATATATGAAATTCGGGTGTGGATTTCATATGAAATATGGTCATTGAATAGTTGAAGTTGGAATAAACATATTTTTGTTTAAAATTAATTATGTATTGAAATTTATTGAAATAATTGATTTAAATACTATCAAATCCTGGATTATTTTTCAATAACATTCAACCATATTTTAATTACATTTTTCACATTGACTTCCAGTGTCTTTTCTATTGTAGAAAACTCCCTGAGGATCCTATTCAGGAAAATCCCATTTACTCCCATCAAGCAAACGGTTTGATATCAAAAGGGTCAAAGGAGACATTGGTATCAGCTGTAAAGAGAGGAAAAAGGATAAAACTTTTTGTAGATTCCCAGCTGCCATGTATAACTTCTCTACAACGTCTAGAAATAAATGCACAGATGGGTGACTGCAATATCATTGCTCAGAATATATTTCGTATAGGTGTAAAAATGTATTCCAACGCCCTATCAATCCCTTTATACTGGTGGAATGCCTTGTTTTCTACTCTAGGTGAAGTCAAAATATCTCGTTGGTACATCGGCAGTCACGTGCATAAAAGCGACACAGGAACAGCATATGATATGGCTTGGTATGTTGATGAATGTTGGGGCTTTGCTTTCATGTATTCTAATGATGGGTCAGTATTGTCAGGAAGTATAGAAATCCTGAAAGCAAATATACTAGCCGGGCGCCGAGTTCGTGTTCTCTTCGATTCATATTCAATAGAAGCTGATAACATTTTGTTATCAAACAACACCCAGGTAGTAACTGGACAGTTTTTGAACCAACTTGACACTTCATCACCTATGGTGTTCTCTGCTGGGCAGTGGAAATGGGTAAGACTATCAACAGACGGGTCAGTCATGACGGACATATATGAATTGGGGTCATCGGCTAAAATAAGTAACAGTGCCATGCTGTCATCGGCTTCCTGGTTTGTAGAGAGACGCAAATGGAGAGAGGTTTTGGTTACTTCCCCAAATGGAACAGCTTTGGTTGGTTCCAAGTCGGCGCTGGTACAGGCAGTTCGCCAAGGGTCAACGCTACGGTGTGTTGTAGTGTTTTCAAATGACGACACACTTGTATTTACTGCAGATAATATTGAAATTCACACTGATGGAAATGTCGCTGCTCAGTTGTTTAAGTACATAGAGTTTGGTGATGTAAACGACGGGATGTTCATACCATACTGGAGGATTATGCTTGTTTGCACAACGGGTAAAGTGCAAGAGTCAAGATGGACGGTCGGGGAACATGAAAAAAGAGGCGAAGTACTACACAATAGTGTTACGTCTTGGTTTGTTGATACTTGAATCCTATACAACAGATGGCACAAAGAAAATTTGGAACATGAACTCGTTAACATCATCGGGTTGTTATATATAATGGCTTCAATTTTGATACCTATGGCCGAAAGAGCAAACTCGCATTGAATGAAAGAATGAAAATCTTGATAAGTAGGTACACTAGCTCTATAATCTTATCTATTTTCATTTAATTTCTAATATAATAATTTCACGTTGACGTTAAGTATGTCTTAATTTGTGAAGAAACTTTTCGACGAAGTGTTGCAAGTGACTCTTGTTTATCTTTTATATCAATTTTATGAATATTTCCTTACGAAAACAAAGAAATCATTTTTAGTCCAAAATATGTCTTTTCCCCCTGCTTCACTAATTACTTAAACCCTCCTTCTACCCTTCGATCAATCTTTTACATACAAATTGTTATCAAACATGCTAAGTATTCTATTCCTCAAACGATAACCATGCTAGTAACCTCAAAACAGGCATATCATCTGGCGTTGAACTCGTATATCTAACGTTATATCGCACAAGAGAATGTCTTTTCCAATGATATCACTATGGCAACCACAAACTTTCCTCGCAGTCTTTATCAACGCGACATCTATGAAAACCATACTGGAATTAGCTGTTTAATGTCGAATTAAATGTAACATTTAAACAACTAATTTGATGATTCAATTTTTTGGCTGAGTTGACCAGTTCAAGTTAGCAGAAATAATGCTCCCATTGTACTGTAATAGTAACTACACCTACCATTGTGTCAATATATTAAACTTGTTAAACACGACAAGTCCACTGGTTCGGGGTTACACCAAAAAATAGGTCAACATCTCTGTATTTTACTGTATGGCAATAGAATTTAGTGATTGTTTGTACGATTCGGAGGTGTTAGTGAAAGAGGAGTCAGCACAACTTTATAATATATCATTTATTAAAACTATTATTCATCTTTGATGTCATTACATTGATTTGTTTACTATCTTAATAACACTTAGTACTGTAATGATATAAATAATGCATATTTCAATTGTCATAATATATACAATTTACATATTTGTCAACCACATAACAATATGTTTTTCCTTCGGATAACTTTCCGACAAATTTATGAAAATAGTTGTTCTTTACATTTTAGAATATTTCTTTAAATGTTAAACTTGTTATCCAGTGAATTACATATGTAATATTGTTCATATGTCACAAGCTTAATATACCATGGAGCGGTTTTTAATTGGATGCTCAAGTCCCAAAACGGGTTTGATGTCATCATATGGATAATGATGTTACGTAATAAATTGAAGAATGGCGCAACAATGTGGTTGACTCCGATTGATTGTTTCCTCCACATTAGACATTTTGTACTTGAAAATCCTCTAATATAACTTTCATATTGATTGATTTTATATAGAAGTCTTAAATGTCACTCGCCAAGGCACCCAGAATTGAAAATTGCTAAGATTCGTTTAGGGAAATTAAGGCTTATTTTAGATCCTTTGTATCAAATATTGTGTACGATATGAAATCAGGAGCCAAGGTATGAAGTTGAAATCGTACAAGCGTATTATTGTGATGTAAACAAGTGATTACCGCCACAGTTACAACATCAACAGTGGTAAACAGTTTAACCTACACAAACTACGTGGCAAATATTACATTTTGACCATGACGTAGAGAAGTATTGTAATAATGTAAAAATACACCGTGAAATTGAAATGCATTCAATTACCAAATAAACCTAACCTGTACTAAGCTATCCAAGCATGATAGTAAATATTTGTTGGGTTTCTGAGGTAAGTGCAGAAAGGATAAAACATTGCCTGACAATATGAATTAATGTTTAGGTATGTATGTGTGTAGATGCTGTCAGGCGTAGATCTACGTGACATTTCGTGTTGTGAGGCCTTTAAAAACAAAGTATTAAATGCCCATCTTCAAAAAAGAACAAATTAGAAATCAGTGATTGATAAAATCTGAAGACTTCCTGACTGGTGTTCAGTGTGATGCTAGAAATACATCATTTCACTCCAATGCATGTATCGTTTATATTGGTTCATGTTGTTACTTTAATTGCTGTACCGATTCCTCCTGTTGCTTTTTTTGCATAGAATAAAAGGTTCAATTAACATCGGGTATTGGCTTTTGAATTGGTAATGTATTTTTTCAATTCAGCAATCTTCAATATTCATGAGATATATGCTTTATTTTGTTATATTTCTGTTCTTAAATTGTCATTCCCCGCTCCCGTCTTATTTATTTATTTATTTTTTTTTTTGGGGGGGGGGGGGGGGGGGGGGGGGGGGCGGGGAGAGGGTAGTTTCTCTGTTTCTTTTGCTTGCATTGTTTTCATGGTTGAAGTGTTGTTTACCCGTTTCCTGGTTGGGACCTGTTTCATACTTTGTTGTGGTGTTCCTGTGAAGAATGTGATGTATTCCGTGTCGTGTAACTATATTTGTTACCTTTCCCTAGTTGATGTACTGTATCTAATCTGCTATGGAGTCGCTGTTGATAGCGAGTTGAGTCTTTTCTCTGAATGTTGGGAGATGTTTTCATTCTCTGAATAATGTTTCATAGAATGTGTGATGTTTTCATTCTGTAAAGGCAGTTGCCATGGATACTGTGTTTGCTGTGACTATTTTCTAAATATTGTGTCTGTGATTAGGATGCTGCTTCAATGCCATAAATGTTGTTTCTTTGAAAAGTGTGTTGTATCCATTTTGTGGCCGGTGATTTCATGGATAGTGATGTGTCTATCTGCTGAATACCAGTTTTAATGGATACTCTGTTGTGTTCATTCTCTGAATACCGTTTCCGTGGATAGGGTGTTGTGTCTTTTCAATGGACACTGTTATTATGTTGTTTTCATTCTGTGAAATGTGTATCTGTAAATAGTGTGTTGTTTCAATTCTCTAGATTGTGTTACTATGTATAGTGTGTTGTCATTCTGTAGCGTTTTGCTATGTGTAGTGTAGTGGGTCCAATTAGTCGATAACGTTTCTGGGGGTAGTTGTGTATTGCGTCCATTTTGTATATTGTGTTGCTATGGATACTGTTTTGCTTCCATTCTGTAGATTGTGTTACTATGCATACTGCGTTGGTTCCAATCTGTGGACTGCACTGTTATAGATAGTGTGTTGTTAGTAATTTGAGGGTGATATTTCTGTAGATAAAACAACGTAATCAGAATGATTATGGCTCGATATATTTTATCTTTAAAGTCATTTTTTATTTGATATTAAAACCTGCAATGTCTTTTAATATCATAATTGTCTAAACCAAGACCTTTATTTATCAATAATTGATAAACTCTCTGAGAAACAAGCAAAATCATTTACCATGTTTTAAGTATTCAGCTAAAAATAGTTGTCACATCTGATGGTCCGATTTGACGGAGTAACTCGTTATCAAAGAACTAATTCATAATGAAAACCTAAAATATCGCAAATTTTATCAAGTTATAATTATTCTCCGTGTTATTCACACTTAATTTATAATGCACTCCGTTTTTGCGCTAAAATGATTTCGTTATTGTTGATTAATTTACAACTTATATTTGAAATGACGGATGTATTGATTAAACAATAAACACGTGTTTTATAGAGTTGCTATTATTTCTGCATCAAAACAAAAAGCAACTAACGCGTTTTCTATTTTGTAGTCAATTTATCATGAAAGAGTTATAACAGTGACACTATACGGCGTTTTGGACACTATAGGTGTGTTAACTATCGATAAGCAGGTAACCGGATACATATACGACACTTTCTATTGGGACAATCAAGGATTTTAAATGGATTGAATATATCAATAATGATACCCCATAAATTAAAGAAATAACAATCTGTATTTTAATTCTATAATGAAATTTGATACTATAATTTCTAGATTTAAAGGTAGTGACATCCGCATGTTGTCTTGAAAACCCATTAATTTCTGTTGTGGCGACGGCTAATCAGTACTTTGTAAATACATTAAAAAGATGCATGTCAAGTTAGGTACACCCTACAAATGAAGTGGACCGCTAGAAACTTAGATCGTATCAGAACAATCGTTGTTCCGCCCTCCGGCTTCGATACATTTTTGTAGTGAAATCCTAACCACATAATGAAGTATTGTGTGACCAGTTAACCCATAATAGGTCCTGTACCATTGTTTTGTTAGTACTGCTGGAAAGTAATTATTTTGCATAAGAGCTACTTTTTATCATTATATTAATGTCGGTCTGGGTTCACTGTGTATATTGGTCTTAAAAGACGCCGTGAGGAAATTCAAACTTGACGTGAAATTAAACTTCAGACTCGCGATTTTATTTATTTCCTAAAACGTACATTAATTATAATGTAAAACAAACTGTCTAATGACTTGGACTAATCTGTAACTTACTTGGATAAAGTTTGCAGGTGCGATTTTGAAACGAGTGTCTTAACAAAAATTGAATTCACAAAAGAGGATTACAGAAGCCAAGAAAAAAATGTTTTGTCTTTTCATGGTCATCTTGTTCAGTGGATTTTCTATCCATTTCACGGGTGAGTATATCATCGAACAATGTTAACTGAAATATATGATCAGCCGAAAATAGTAGTATTCTTTGACATAAAAGTATTGTAAAGTTTCTTTTGAAAATAAAACGGAAAATAGCCTCCTGAATACAGAATAAGACTAAGATACGTTTATGTTTCGTCCAGGAATTTAAGTTGTTGTCAATCTGTACTAACAAACGGAAACAAGGTTGAAAAATATATTACTTGCCGTAATTTGCACGGTCCTCATAGTATTCTATTTCTTTGTGTGATATAAAGTTAGACGTGTTTGATGCTCGTTAGTTTTACTGTTGGTTCCGTTGTTGTATACATTGTTCACATTTGAGAATGTAACATTTCTTACTTTGATTGACATGGCGGATGTTGTCGTTGAAGCAGAAGACGCTTACTCTTGCGGAACGAGTGGTCCTTGTGACGTTTTATGAGTCTTCGTTTAAATCTTTCTTTTGTTCATGTTTTGTCCTTGAT